ATCCAATATCCTACTCCAAATATACATTCTAGACCTTGAAATCCAGATGGAGTGTTGACGAGCAAGTTTCGCAGTTGCGCAAACAAAGTGCGCAGTTGTTCATGGAATAGTGTATGGTCGAAGCAGTGCATCGTCTTGTCATCTGCTCTTCGTTCACATTGTAGTCCTTACCAAGCCTTTTCCTCTCATCCTCTTTAATTACGGTTATTTAACATCGACGGTAATCGAGGTGGTGCCGTTCGGCATGCGCCATAAAGATGTCGTGTTTTTACCCAGTAATGAATAGTTCTAACTCAAGAGGCGCGAGTCGAATATTCGGATACAAAGATCACTAGGCAAGGTTCTCCTCAAACCTTAGCTTGGTGCTAAGTAATTTCGGTTTGGGACCGGTAGCTCCATTCTATTGTCCCATAGGTGACGAATTCTTTAAAGGGATTTCACAATGGTTTGGATGCTGCAGAGTTCTTTAACTGTTGACCAATGATATGCTTGAAAAGTGGTATTTCGTTAAGGAAACATCCTTTCAGTATCGTAGGTCACACAGAGTTTGGTAACTAGACGTTTGGTCGGACGTAGTCGCACAATAGAATTTGATGATGCATACCGACCGCAGATGCTGTACTAATTTGTGCGTTTTGCCGATTTCCTGACCATACGTATAACCTTTTGATTTCACTACGATGCAGCCAGCCAAAGCGGATTGCACGTGTAAGCCACAAAAAATTTACCTACCTAACCTTTTTTATGGTAGAAACTTGTTTTTGGAAAAAATTTACCACTTTGCTTTCAGTCAACAACTGCATTGGATATATTAGTGTCTAACACAGAATCCAAATTTTATCACATGTCACAGTGAGACCACGAAAAGATTTCCAAGTGGCGCTCTCTGAATACTTTTGGAGAATTAGTCGCTTTAAGGGCTTCAGATTTCTACTACAACGGAATAATACTACTTAGATACTTGGATGCTCCCAACGGTTTATCGCCTCATCGTGGCTAGGAGGTGTTCCTGGCTGTCGGACTGTGCTGTACAGCGGAGGAATTCGTCCCCACGGCGGGGTCTCCCAAGCTGAGAAGGAGTCCGACGTTTCCATCAGAAAGCCTAGCTAAGAGTAAGCCAATACAGGATGCACCACCGTCTTGGTATCAAAGTCGCGTGGTGACAAATCTCCCTTTGATCCACACGGACTGCGACTGCCCGTGGTGGTGAAGACCTGGGGCAGACTTTGGCTAGCCTGACCTCGGGATTCCAGGGAACCACAATGGCTTAACTATCAAATCTCCGGTAAATGGTGATTATGCTGGGGCCCGCACAACCAGTGAGGACGGGTCGTTCAAATGCCAAGTGTCAGGTTACTTGGATGGCCTATCTTCACTGATTGTGTGGGCCCCAGCATAGTTTCCACTTTTTCGGAGTTTTGCTAGTTTAACCATCGTGAATTTTTGCAGTTCCGAAATCAGCCTGGTCAAAGTCTGCCCCAAGTCGTCATCACCACAGGCGCTCGCTGCCCTTGTGGATCAGAGGGAAATTTGCCACCATGTGACTAATTTGATACAAAGATGACGGTGGATCCTGCTATTGGTTTTCTACTTAGTTTTCCTGATGGGAACGCCAAACTCTCTATTTTGGGGACCCTGCTGGGGTGAAAAATCATCCCGCTGCACATCGTAGTCCTACACCCACGAACACCTCCCAGCCACGAAAAGGCCGTAATCCGTTGGGAGGTATGGAACAGTAAACATGTACCAATTAATGAAACTACGTAGATCCCAATGGTTCTCATTCCTCTTAGTTAGTAAAGTTATGCTTGGTCGTATTAGTACTTATTTCAAATTCATCTGCAATAAAACAGTTTCTTTTTCATCAACCGTATTTTATTTTTTTTGCACCACCCATGATCACAGAAACTGCGAGGATCCCGGCTCTTCTCACATTCGATTCGTTTTCCTCGTAGCAATCATATCTCTTATAAGTTACTGATTCATATAGGAAGTCGTACCTATGCAGATCAACCATATTTTTTAAAAATAGCCACGTAAGGCTCTTTGTCAGTACACCATTTTTCAACGGTTGAGTCAATCACCGCTTCTTCTAAACAAATCTTCTCAACGCTGTCAATGGTTAAAAGTAATTCACACAAGAACAAAGCAAGCCGCAGAAGGCGATACGACTTCACCGGATAAGAATACTCCATTGATGATAATCCAGCGATATGCCAGCTCTCTGTTCTAGAATTTTGTAGAGGTGGGTAATTTTTTTCAAAAGAGCTGTTCCCATTAAGGAGATAAGAAAAGTCGGCCTCAAGTGAGTCATCCATTGAATGGCGGCTTAAGGGAAGCTTCAAGAACTGTTATACCAAAACTAAAAATTCTTGGAAAGTCATGCTAACAAGGACTCTTTTTGGAAAATCTTGCCGCAGTTAGAAGTACAAAGTGAGACTTCGTTGAAGACACTCATCTTCAACAAGCTGGTGAAGGACATCCTTCTATCACACCAGTCTGTTGCTAACCAAAACTCTTCATTACCACATCGTATCATCTCTCACCTACTGTCTTATCAGTGATCGAGTAGCTCGAGCTGGTACCAAAAAATTCTATTCGTACTTTCGATTAATAGAGATTGTCCTACAGCCCCACTTGTACAATAGGAGCGAAGAGTATCGTACTTTTTTCCACGATGCCATTTCTGCACTCGTCTTATTGTTAACTATGAATACCTATTCAGTAAGGTTATGCTGTGGCACTGCAGTACTTTCAGTCAATTTGATTCACGAATGTAATCTTGTCAGCGTTCATTAATATTGGTTTAGACCTGTCCTAAATAGGAACTCTGGCTGACTGTTATCGTAACTGCATTGAAATAATGCAGTTTCTCTATCCATCATTACCGTTCACTTAGGAAAGGGGATTCGACAAAGCAACAACATCTATCCGACCTTTTTGCTGCTGCAATGAATAACGAAGTCGCTCAACTGGGATGAAAAGTGAATAGGCATTTATGGGAAATTCCTGTCAAATCTTTGTTTTGCTGATGAATTCGTTATCTTGCGATGGAGCGCATGTAGCACAGTGGTCGTAGGCGTCATGCAATACACATAGGTTCTTCACATTTCGGTCCCACCAAGCCCTCCATCCCTCTTGGGTCAACAAATTGATAGCAGACCTGTCGGGGAAGATGGCCGCACTGGCTCGACACATCGTTAGGCTTACGGCCCGCGAATCATTGTAAAGGGTAGATATGCATTTAATCACCTCCAACGATGCTTAGTGAAGTCGAATGCATGGTCCATCCCTTAAAGAGAGATCAATGCCGAGTGCTCTACCCTTTAGCCTTTATTGTCGTCTTTCCGAAGATCTTTTCAAATCTGCAATCCTCTCAGTGCTCTGTCCCGCACCAAAAACGCAGACGGATTTATTCATGTCGAAAATGCTGTTCAGCACAGTCAACGCGCTTGAATAATGTCTACTGGATTACAGACGGCAATTAGAATGCATAACCGATAAGCGCAATTCGTATCTTCGATACTTATCGCAAAAAAACTGTGTAATGGGCTTCAACAGAATGTGTCTTCTGGGGCCACCAACAACACTATGAGCTGAAGTGTTTGTTGCTAAAATTAATCAGCAGTATTCCCAGCTGCAAAATTTTACAGATTATGATAAAACACTCACATACATCACCATGCTCGAAGCAAGTCTCCACTTGGACAACGATCGCGAGACTAGGAAACGAGTGGAAAATATAGTGGTGTTCGCAGTGCTCGTGGTGACGAACCGTCCATCCGCCCCGTATCTAGCTCTCTAAGTACGACATAGCACAAATTTGCTATTAGTTGGCCCTTCTCGTTTTAGGTAGTTGTGCTGGTAGACGGATCTCTCGTTGCACGACAGTCCGACAGTTAGGAATACATGTCGAACCACAACGAGGGGGTAAAACTTTGTGAGATTATTGTCACATAAGAGTAGTACGTGAAATCTTTTCGCAGCTCAACGATGAAATTTGCATGAATGGATTGCGCTATTTTAGATAATCCTTTTTATGGTCAAACTACCGATAGCTGCCGGCGAAGAGCACATCATGCGAATCTACTTACAAAAACAATCGAAGAGAAATTTAAGGAGAAGAGGTCATAGCTGAAAGTCTGAAAATAGCGGTTAGATTAGAAATCATGGAAAATGCACTTCGCACATTCATAAGGCAATCAAAAAACAACAATGAACCTACAAAGTTCGCATACAGCATTTCAGTGGATATACTGTGAGAAAATGAAGCATTAGGCAGACAAGAAAAGCATTCGAGTGAAGAGGAGCAAAGCGAGACTTTGGAAAGCATGACTGCGGATTCGGTGGGAGCTCTCGCTAACTCCACCGACAGATGTTTTCAATCGGAGCTTCGAGACAGCATCACATACAAAGCCCATTATGGAGCTTTCGTAGCCAACGGACGTGTCAGAAAACAACGAACCCAAAAATGTGAGCCACGTCGCAAAATACTGCGCTTTTGCATTTTTTGATTTAGTGATGTTTTCTTACATTTTGAAATAGGAGTAGACTAGATTTAGTTAGCCTTACTTTCTTTTTTTTCTAAAGTACCTTCTCTTGCTTTAATAAAAAAAATTGGCCTTTTTAGGAACATGTAGACTGCGATTTCCTTATATTTCATGAAATACCATCTATTTTGACTAGAATCACTGTCTATGATAACCTGAATTATTCGAATTATTGCATTCCGGATCTTCTGCCTGGAGGTGTTGTGATTACAGTGGCTGCATTTAACAATTTCCTTCTTTAAAATCTGCTTTTGATATTCAAGCAAAGTTCTTTGCATAAAGTTTTTTCTAAGCTTCTGTTTAAAAGAATCTTACTTTATGGTTTAACCTCAGTTTTCCTTGAATTTTGTGCAGACTATTTGCCGTACCCTTTTAGTGTTCCGTATTTATCTTTTTAAAATGTACCACAGAACATTGTGATGGCTGAAAATCCTAGATCTTCACGATAAGATGTTCAAGTGGCTGTTGCTACTACCGTGCTTAACGCTGGCGAAGCTGGACAATTGTTTCGAGCGCGTTCGCAATCACACATTAATCGGTACTGTACACGGCGTCCTGAACCACGTTACATTGCCACAGTGTCAGCAAGCTTGTCTGGAAGCAAGGAAGCAGAGTTGCAGGTGAGATTCAAATCTGTAATGTTGGAAAACACAGAATTTTAACATGAATTGGTTATTATTAACCATACTAACAAACGTGGATGGCTCTTACGAGATTTCAGCGGCGTATTAAACCACACTTTAGCGACAGCTTCAGACAAATTAATCCATGAAACTGATCTCCAACAACAACGACACTGCTCGGTTGTGAAGAATAAAAAATGTGTAGCACTTACAGTTCTTCACCCACCGATTCTCTGAATTCATTTTCTAGGTGATAGGAGAAGAAGCTATGAAAAGTCTAAGAAATGCAAAGATTGAAGGAATCCAATCCATATGATCAAAGTTTTTTTATCTTTGTAGATCGTTTATGTATCACACGGCGAAATCGAGATGCTATATGAACTCTGAAGACAAGGAATCCCGCGACTCATCTCTCTTCCCGCTTCTGGATGCGGTGGATTACTATCACAGAATGTGCTACCGTAAGCTCATGAAATAGTATGAAACATAGAGGAGATAGCAATAGACGGAAGCAGAGAAAGCTCTGAAACGTAGCTGTTGTTATGAATCAGGTATCTGCGTGAGATGATATCAGATATTCAGATACAACAAGAATGGAGTCGAAGAGCAGCATACAAAGAGATTCTGCATTCGATGAAAAATGTTACGAAACAATCGAAGGGAAGGTGAGTTATCAATCCACGACAAAAGCTAAGCATCGATTTGCTGGAACTTTGGTTGCACTACGCGTTTCCCCATTTGATCAAAATTTCTCAGCAATGCTTTGGGGAAATAACGAAAATTTTTGATTGTTTTTTTGACAACTTTTTATGTGATTGCGCTGACACGAGGTTGGAATAGAAGCTTTAATCGGCTGTCCTTTGGACGCTGTCGCTTTCTTCAGAGCCACGCTGGTTCAGTGCACGCTCCACAGGTGCCTTCAATAAAGTGGTGTTCACCACCTGAGGGGTGCCTTCTCCAATGGATTAGACTCAAAATGGCAGTGCAACCTTTTATGAACTGATCTTGATGAGCTACCTCAACGCCGTGCTGTCACAAGTGAGAAAAGTTACAAGTGAGAGTTCCACTTATAACAGCTCGGCTATGAGGAAGGCGAAATGGCAGAAACGTCAGCCATCGGCCAACAATAACAAGAACGATAACAACGAAAACTATAGCAACCTTGCATCAGCTCAACAAGATCAGTCCATAAAAACATATAAACAAATATATGGGTAATTTTTGCTGAGATTTATAGAAAGTTGGTTTTTTGAATCGCCCTTTAATTTGCTGCCTACTACATTTTTTCATGCCAGATGTGAAATACAACCACAATGATGCTGAGATATGTGCAGAACTCGGACTCAGGTAAAATCTAAGCACGATTATCTTTCCGGGTCTCAGGTAGCTCTCTACTCAATGGTGCACTGAGGTTGCATTCGATCTGACTCGACAACGACCACCTATGGGCCATAGACTCGGACCATCGTGGCTCTCAGGAAGTTGAATGCACCGAAGCGTTGGCTGAATAAAACTTTTATACCAATCTCGTATGAACTCAATCGTATCGAAAATTGTTGTTTATTTTGCTGAGGTTTAATGTAAGCTGCTTTTTAAGATACTGTCACTCAACGTTTTATGATAACTTCCGGCTTGATGTCACAATTCTCTGCATAGTAGCAATAAAATAGCGAACATAGAATAGCAGAAACGTGACAGAGAACGATCAATTAGTGTCCCACCTTATTTATTTTTCAAGTGCTAAATTTTCGTGGGCTGTTCGGCTTTCTTTTCAGACTCCCTCTTTTTCCAGGTACTGATCGGTATTGTTGATCAGCTCATTAAAGATGTTACTACACTTGAGCAGTGTAAGAAGCAATGTCAAAAGAGCAAGGAAGCAAGTGGTATAAACTGTAAAAGCGCGATTTACTACGAGAAGGAAAAGGTCAGTCATCAAACCTCGCCACTTGTGTTAAGTGATTACGATACTTATTCAGAGATTCAAGCAAGCTCCACTAGACTTTCTAGTTATGTCGCGCGGTAGTGTTGCTCAATAAGTGCGCTTTCGAGGAGAAAGGGGATGCGTCTCGCTCCGCTTTGGTGAATTTCGTCATAAATTCGGACAACAATTTGAGGAGGCGTCTTGTTGAAAGATCACTTGCAGCTTTCGTGCAACGTCATCAACAAATACTTATGATAGCAGCCACAATGATGCTGGGATATTCGCAAAACAAGGACGCAGGGACAAATCGAACCACGATTACCCTTTCCAGGATCTCGCGTATTACACGCTGCACCACTGAGGCCCTTGCTTTCCGTTTCTCTCTGGTAGTTTTCTATCTAACGCTGTCATCAGCGATCATCCGCCAGCGGGATTGATCTGAGGGGCATAGATCGGCATTGAACCAAGTTAAGCTGAGGCTGTAATCGAAATCACAATGTTAACCTTTCATTTGCTGCCTACTACAATTTTTCGCTTATCCTGAGCCTTCTGATTTTCCAGATTTAGTGCAGATCATTCATCCGCTTACAGTAAACAGCTGTGGCCATGATAATCTTTATCTCACATCAGATAATATTGAAAGCGTTTTCGTTCTCTTCACATAGCGTCCAGGTTAACGACCTGTACGACAAAACAGAGAAAACAGTAGACTAGATAAGAGATCGGGCTGTGTGGTTTTCTTTATTACTTCTCCCGTTATAAGCTGCGAATACTAGTCTGTACACGCTGTAGAGAATCGACGTATTCTTACTTCTTAAAGTGAACTCATCATCCCGCCAAATCCTTCAAATGTATCGTTTGTCTTCACATCATCCCATAAATCTGCTAGTGAAATTAAATGATCTTATTTCAGCGTACACTTTCCCATACACTTCATTACCTACTTATTAGTTTGAGGGAAAAAGGTTCTAGAGAAAAAATTCGGTGGCCTTATTCGCTGTACTCTTTATTTCGGAATGATAGCAACCCGCGTAAAAAGCAGAGGTTCCATTCAAAAGAGGTCAACACCAAGCACTCTTCTAAAGTCGGCGTTTGCATTCACAGTTGACGCCTCACTTGCGTCTTACATAATGTATTTTATGCAAAAATATTAACTATTTTTAACTTCAATTCCAAATATCGGCGCTCATACCGAACTTAGATGTTTGAAGTACGAACCACTAGAGTCAACAGATCTTCACAGATCAACAGAACACAAGATAAAATATAGCCTTATTCTATAACGTTTTTTTTTAACTTTTTGAAGTTTTTTTTCTCGACCTGTTGATGTCGACAGCAGAATGTTGCTTAAGATTTCGCATCGCCTATCAAAGGTAGATTTATCTGCTCACTCGACGACAACGGTTTTATTTCCTTAGGTAGTCGAGCCCACATTTTATCTATTACTTCGACACATGGGCATTTCCGAGATGTCGCGCGGGTTTTGGCGTTTCGCTTCACTGATTTTTGTCTAACTGTCATTCATGTGGGTGGTCGAGTTTGTATGGGGGCTTGGCTACGATTTGGAGATCTGTAATCCTTCTCCCATTGTCATAATTAATTCTGCTTGAAAGATTGGTGTTTCCTGGAACCATGAGGTCGTTGCACGAAGAAGTTGCTAGTCACAATCTTAACTCTCTTATTTACTGTCTTTTTCTTCTTAATGGCAGGTTATGTTTCGAATTATAACTCGTATGAAATGCTGAGATATTTGCAAAACTCCGGACCACAGGTGTATGCAGTGGACCTGTGGTCCGGAGTTTTGCAAATATCTCAGCATTTCATAGAAGTTGCTAGTATTTATCCTGGTCGTACTCATTATTCACCATTGTTGTTCAAGCTATGGCTTTCTCCTACATAACTAGGATTAGTGGGGAATCTGTTCTTGATTTTTGCTTTTATTCTGCAATAGCTACTCCGTTGTAATCTAAACTGGGTTAGATTTTTAGTTCCTCTAACCTGTGGTGGTATTGCATATCCTGTTGAAAACACGAAGTGCTCACTAATCAAGCAAAACACTTTAATTAGTTTGTGAACGTGCGTATTAATGTAACACATTCAAAACTATATAGCGACTCAAAACCTAGATGGGACACTACCAACGATATATATTGAGTTTAATGCACACAATGTGAGGTTAAAAACTACGCTTCATGTCACGCAATATAATAGAAGTGTATTACGTGCAATATATCACGCAAAAGCAGGACTTCCTCGGATTTCGGAACTGTATCATTCCCATGCTAGCATGTTTTCTATGGCATCAAGTGCTAGCGTCAAGTTAAGCGCGCTAAAAGTTGGAGTCCAGAGCAATTTTATAGAGATATTGGGTACTTTTGAAAAGTTACTAGTGAAAGTCTTAGCAGAAGATGTGTTTGTGCAGAGTATTGTTTGTTTAATCCAGTAATAAGAAGTTTTATGCTTCTCACATTGTAATTTATTCAAAATATGCCGTTTGTTTTCAATTTCAGGAGTGTATAATCGCATCGCAATCACGAAAGGACATTCCGGAGCTCTTTGTCGATGATGACCAGGCCACGTACCTGGAAAACACTTGCCTCAGTAATAACACTTCGGAAGTGAAAGAAATTCAGGTAAAAGCGTAAGACTATAACTCAGGTTAAAAATGAATAACTGAAAGGCGGATGTCTATTATGTGAAATCTATTTCTTAAGAAACCACAGTTAATGGAGTCAATACCTGACATGAACTATGGAGACATAACAAAACCGTCATATGTCCTGAACCAGGCAAGTTTTATAGCCTAAATCAATTTAGAAATTCTGAAAATGTGAAGTGTTGGGCATGGATCTATTAAATATAAACAAAAATTAGGCTATAGGCTGAAGTCCTTTGAGTCATTAATTTATCGAGTACTTGTTTTACAGCAGGATAATAATTAAGTTAAGTCAGTGAATGACAACAATATAATTCGGGCTTCGTGTTAATTCTCAGCTTAGAAGACCAAACTTCAAGTAATGAAAACCTCGTATTGGATATCCTACGTAGCCTCCAATGGTTTAACGCATCACTGCGGCTTCTGGATAATCCTGAATGTCGAATTGCGACGAGCAGAGAAAGATTCGTTGCCATAGCAGGTTCACTCTTCTGAGGCTTTCGAAATTTTCGGCCAAAATCCCGACTAGGAGTAAATCAGCAAGAAGACATAATCCGGCGAGCCAGACTTCGGAGGCTATCATCTCTTCAAAAATTAAACATTTTTTCCTGCTCCTGGGGCGGCAACCAAGTGAGCAGCTTTGTTATACGATGGAGAAGAATGGAAAATTTGTTGGTGGCCTTGAGTTAAGTTACTTGATGGATCAGAAGATTATAAGTGATAAAGATAATGTAGAATTGAAAGTTCTAAAAGCCTGCTTCGTAGCTCTTGAAAGACAATTTTGCCGATTCCAAAGACTGACTTTCTATTAACCTCGGCATTAATTGATAATTCGCTGTATTTGTTCTTGTGATTTCGCCTTCTTCAGAGCCTAGAAAGGTCATATAGATATGCAACAATTTTGCCAGATTATGTGCCACACTTCAAATTGTTTTGTTCAAGAAACGAGACTAAACTATCCTCGAGTTAACAGGAAAAAAAGATCTTCGTTAACCACAAATTTCACGTATTGTGATTTTTTTATAGTCGATAGCCTTCACGGAAGACATAGAAGCTTCCATAGAGACGTCAACTCCTACTGAGGCATTGTCAACTGTAACTGAGGTTCAATACCAGACAGGAAAGCCAGTGAGTACCCTTTAGATTGATTCATTGTGGTTTTTGCATAATAGTGCGACTCATTATGACGTAATCCTACATTGTTTCTTGAAATAACATTCCATCCTATTTCACTAATTCTAACTATAAAGTGTCGGCGATTGACTACCAGCAAAAAGTAAGAAAATTGATAACTCGTATATAATGCTGAGATATTTGCAAAACACTGGACCGCAGGTGTATGCGGTGGGGAACGAACGCACTATTGTCCTTTCCGGAGAGTAACACGTTCACCACCACACCATGCGGGTCTTTCGTTTCGCCTGTCTCTCAGCTAGTTCTATTGATCTTTTGCTATCAGCAATCACTCGTCAACGGGATTGATCTGGGGAGCCCAGATCGGCATTGTACTCCGTTAAGCTGAGGCTTAGTTATAGTCACAATCTTTACCCTTTTATTTACTGCTTTTTTTTCTTTTTAATGGCATATATTTTGCAAATATCTCAGCATTATATACGAGTTATATTTCGTAACATACCCTGCCATTTAAAAAAAAGCAGTAAATAAAATGGTTAAGATTAAGAAAATTGATATTGGACAATGTCAGGACATTCTGGTAGTAATGATTTAGGGAATAAGTTGTTGGTGATCTAGTAGAAAATCTATGAACCATCTTCTATCTTCCAGCTAAAAGAGCGGTTAGGAAAAGTTGATTTGAGTTGAAAAGCGGAGCTGATTTACAAAAGACCGCTCTGTCTCGCCTTCATCGATTTACAGAAGGCTTTTGATTCAATTGAGATAGAAGCGATCATGGAAGCCCTTGATACTAAGGAGTCCCTACTCAGTACATAAAGATTGTTCGTGAGCTGCACAAAAATTTCACAGCCAAGATGTCACCATTGTGCAACGATATTAACATTGACGTCAAAAGAGGAGTTAGGCAAGGCGATACCATCTCGCCAAAATTATTTACCGCCACACTCTAGAGCTTCATGCGAACATTGGAATGGGATAGTATGGGAGTGAAAATGGATGGTCGGCAGTTAAACCATCTTCGCTTTACTGACGACATCGTCCTGATAACATCAAACATTAGCCCCTCCCTCGAAACGTATGTTTACTGACTTTGATGGAGCCTGTGGAAAGATTGGTCTTCGACTAAATCTCACAAAAACGATGTACGTGAAGAACGGATTGGTTTTGTATGCCCCATTCACGCTTAACGGAACGATTATCTGCGAATGCTTCAGTTATGTCTATCTAGGTCGGGAAATCAATATGATGAACGACATAGCTCCAGAGCTATTCCGTGCCCACCTTTTCGACTCAACGGTACTTCGTACCATTACGTATGCGTCAGAAGCTTGGTCGCTGGGTAAGCAGAATTAGAGGTCACTCAGCATTGTCAAACGCGCAGTCGAAGGGACGATGCTAAGAGTGTTCCGTTTCAAACAAGTAAGGAAAGAGATCCAAAGCACCGACCACGATCAAAAACCAAAGATGCCGTTCTGTACGTTAGACAGTCGAAGATAAGGTGGGCCGGATACGTAATGTGTATGAATGACAACCGATAGACAAGAGCCGTTAGTGACTGGATTCCTCGTGATGTCAAACGCGCTGCAGGAAGACCACCGACTCAATGGCCAGAGTTTTTCACGGAGCCTAGAAAAAAGATATGATGCTCGACGAGTCCCTAGAGCGGGCAGAATCCACTGGGCTACTGTTGCACGCGACAAGGAAAAATGGAAGATTTACCGGCACCCGCTCGAGTCACTCGACGATCAACAGGACTACAGGTGACAGGTGATACAGGTGCTTCATCTCCTTGATACTTCATTTGCCATAATTATTCATCCTTTTTCTTGCTTAAGTCTGCTTACCTTCCTAGTTTTTCTATCACACTTTTTAACGAAATTAGTTCTTCGAATACTCACAAGCAGTGAATACAGGTCTGTCGTTAAAAATCATGTTAGCTTTCCAGTTTTATTTCTTCACGACAAGCGTGATTTATGGTGTCAAAACCAGCCACCTCATGTTTGAAGATCCCTTCTCAGATTTGTCTTACAACTAAAGAATTAAGAATAAGAAAATTGGCATTGACCAATTTTTGAGGGATGCGCCACGAAATCTACTTCATGAAGTATTGTTGGAGGTTATTTAATGCATATCTCACCTAGACAATGACCTGCGGTGCCTGCCTGTGAAGCAAGGCGGTGCTACTAATATCCCAGCCAACTATGGTACCAATTTGCTGAGATGAATGGAAGGCTTGGTGATTCCAGGCTGCCTCGGGTGCCTCATCGAAATAAAGACTGATCTAGTGTGTATTACAGTACATCTCTAACCACTGCCCTACTTTCCCCTATTTATAACTAGCACTTCACCTTTCCTTTTTTTTTTTACAAATGTTGGAATTCGTTTTGCTAGAATTACGAATACTTTCAGCCAGTAAACAATGTCGAGTTATCTGGTTATGAGGCACTTACCGACACAGAATCGGGAAATGTCGCCATCACGGACATAACCGCTACCGATGCTGATTCCACCACAACAATTTCACCCACCGACGAGCCCACAACAATAGATGCTAGGGTAAGAAGGTAGTATTGTAAATGTTTCGCTGGGCAAGGTATTCTGCCTCCTCAAGTAGAACCTAATATGTTGAATTACTTCTTTTTCTCAAGAAACTGCTGGACTAGGTGAGGACTTTAGAAGTTTTTATTCTAATATTACAGCAAATCGCTGACGCTTTATGGTTTTTCCAGGTAATCGACACGTATAACGTTGACGTGGCAGTAAAATCACCAGCAGAAATTAGTTTCGGCAAACGGCTGCGAGATTCCAGAGTAAAAGAATGCTTCACGTACGTACTGTTGATTTATAATTCGATACTGAGTGGGATTCAAAGGTTTCTTCTGAAAAATATCTATTGGGTGGTGAAAGGTAACGGAAGTAAGAAGTAAAAGTAACGGACTAATAGATCAATAACAGACAATAAATAATAGACAAGAATGTGCTGTGGAGATCTTGAAGACATTTAAATGAACACTCTGTGGGAAGCATTGAGCACAATTGTTATGAAGCTGAAAAGAAGTTGAGTAATCAAGTATTTTTTCCATTGTACAAGAACTTTTTGGGTTCGTGATCTTCGCTGTTCTGTCAAGGATTCACTAAACCCCAGAAGAGCAGGATATGGTTGGGCACCATTCATTAAGTTTAAGAATGATGTGATGTACTGTGAAAGCAGAAGACGCAGGATACTCACTACCTATTTGGAAGCAAGCTAAATGTTGTGGTGTCTAGGAACTGCACGATGCTTCAAGCTTCTAACTGGCGCTGAAGCGTTTACGTAAGGGATCGAAGCCAATGTTGTTTGAATAGCACTGGTAGAGTTTACAGATACTACATATGTGATCGACTTTCGTATAAGTGGTGTCGTCAAACAAATCCGGTATTCAGTGACGGCGATTGTCGTCTAAAGCATTTCATAGAAGATGGCGATGTGAACATGATGTGAACATGAGGACAACAAAAACGAAGACCAGGAGTATTTAAGAAAGATGGAAAATGAAATTTCTTCCAGATTTCTAGAAAACGAGACAAGCAGCATTGATCGCATTGAGACCTATCTAAGAAGCCACTGATCAAGTAACCGACCTAGAATTACACATTGTTTTTTGATTTGGCGATTTTCTCAGCCTACTCTTGAGCAGCAGAGGATGGAGATATCTAGAAGTCAAAGGCAACACTGTTTAAGGAGTGAAGCTGAATAGCCAGAAAGCCAGATCATAAAATTCATATGTACAATCAACTAACTGCTATAACTGAGTGGGCCGCCGTTACGCGCACTGTTTCTTGCGATCCGTTAGAGCGAAAGTAGACCTTCTCAAACGGGGAAATAAAAGCTAAGCTTTTTCATAGCTTGGTTAGTTGGGAAACAAGATCGCCATTTCGAACAATTCATGATTTTCACACGTTAAATCCGTAACTAGGACGAAAATAAGGTGCAATAGTGAAGTGAGTGAAGCTTGAGTTTTTCACAAGTTGTACAGATTTCACAGTTTTCTCAACCGTCGTAAATCTACTACTTGAGGAAACTATTTTTCTCTATCGATTTCTACACTTGATCAATTTTTTAGCGTCTACTTGTATCAAGGGATTCTTTTAGTGAAGTTCGTCCTCTTCGTCCAATGGATCAGACAAGAGTTACCAAGGCGTATTCGCTGGAACAATGTACCGACATCTGTCGCCTTTGTTGGAGATGTCTACATGGGAAGAAATGCCTCGGTGTTGCTTTCGACATGTGCGTATAGTCCATTACATAGTTGAATACTCTTTCTAAATATTTTTTCAAAACCGATTGAGCGTAAAATGCTTTAAATATGATGATGGTAAAAGCACTCTAACAAATGCCCATCATGTGCTTCAACTGTTTTTCACTTTCACGTTCCCACGATATTATGTGCTCAACACATAGCTTTCTTTTCAAAAACTGTAAAACATGATAAAGCTCTCGGCATTGATCAATCCCTGAGGGATGCACCATGCATTCGACTTCATTACGTGTCGTTGGGGGTGCTTGAATGCAAATCTGGCATTTACAACGACGCGCGGTGGCCTACCGATGTATCGAGTCGGTGCTGCTATCCTCCCAGAAAGGTCTGGTACCAATTTGGCGACCCCGAAGGAATGGAAGGCTTGTTGGGCCATAGGCGCGGAGATCGATTCTACGTGTGTGTCGCAGTGGCGCCTCCTACCAATGCCACACGCGACCTGTTCGACGTTGGCATTGCATTATTGAAAAAACTGTGTACAATTTTTTTATGCTTGTCAAAACGGTCAAAGTAGATATTTGCGAGAAGCAATATCTGACATCCAATAAATAAGAGGTAATTGTCTGCAGTTTGATCATCAGGGTTTTCCAGAAGTCTTGAGCAATGTGCTTTGTCCTCAAGTCCTATCATTGACGGCGGCGATTTGAACACTCTGGATCCGATCGTTTACCACAACAGGATCGACTGCTGATTCTGCTTCTCTGTTCATTTAGAAAACACCATGATTCTGTGTAGATGTTTCGCGTATTTAGAACTTTCTCTCGTAATAAAGACAATGTGTGAATTACTAGTAACAAGGATCTAAAAATGGTATGTGTAGACTGCACAATAAAGAAAATTGTAATAAAATGCTGCAGGTGGTCGTCGTGAAACAGCAGATAAACAACATCTCAGGATGTCAGGTACTATGACGTCACAAATACTCTAGCCAAGAACATCACTCTTATTGCACAGATTAACATAACATTTTGAGAATAAAAAAGGATGAAGATCCTGGCGTTGGTCAATCCCTGACGGATGCGTCATGCATTCGACTTCATGAAGCGTCGTTTGGAGGTAATTGAATGCATATCTGGCCTTTACAGTGACTTACGGTGGCCTACCGATGTATAGAGCCAGTGCTGCTATTCTCCCAGACAAGTCCGGTATCAATTTGGCAACCCCGGAGGGTTGGAAGACTTGGTGGACCATAGGTGCAGGGCCGATTCCACGAGTGTGTTGCGCAAAGCGTCTCCGACCACTGCGCCATACGCGCCCTATTTTTTGGGATTATGAGGAGTAAAAATTCTCTTGACGAGACTCCCCTTTTCGAGACTCCTTCTCCTTGTTCCGCTGAGAAAAGTGAGAAAGTCTACAGCACATTTTTCAATTTGGAACGCTTAGACCACAAAAGAGTCTTATGCTAGATCTGGTCAGTTAACAAACTGGGATTACTAAGGTTTTGCGGGAAGTTTTTGGAAAAGTGTGTCGTTCAATGACAACCGTAGATAATGGTGGGAAGCTTGGAAAAATCAGCCTTTATAGCTGTTCATCTTATAAAATGAGACCTGAAAAGCACCGTATAAATGTTTTATTCATAGTTTAACGCGTATTAGGTGTACAGTTTATCCGAAAAAGAATGAGAGCGCGTTTCCTAAAACTCCACCACCAGCCGCCCATGCTGATCCACTGCCAAGAGGATTCCAGTAGTTGGGATAGTAGGTGTTGTAGTAGTACTAAAACAACACAACTCGACAAATATCAGTGATAACCTACACATAAACTACAACGGTATTTAATGAAATTGGAATTTGTCAAAAAGTAGACATAAGCACAAGCTAGCCGAATATCATGTTAGATATATATTATTATATTGTAACCTACTCTCAATCCTAAAACTCACGCCAGACTTAAGAATTCTTTGCGCCTTAGATTTTCATGAACTGCATCTTCGTGAAAAAACATACTTTTTAGATTTTTACAATATAAAAATTAGGCTTTTTGTTTATTTAATGTGACACTTCATCCATCGTTCGCTCGTACACCACTTCACATGCAGATTCCGACCTACATATTTATCCCTTGGCCTTCATTTTTTATGTTAACACTTATACTTACACTTTCGTATTTCTTCTATTTTTGGAGAATTGTAACAAACTTGAAAATTGGTCATGGAATTGGATATCTCGAAATTGAAAAAAGGAGTTATAACTTTTATCTACAGTCTATTATTTCTTCTTCAAGGCAGGGAGTTTTGTGTTTTATTTCACGCAACACGCTACCATAAAAAAATGGCAGGCAATAAGCAAAAAAATTACAGAATTCTAATTCCAACTACAGCCTCAGCTTAAGTGGGTTTAATCTCGATTTATGCTCCCCAGAACATTCACGTTGGCGGTTGTTCGCTGATGGCACCATTGCAGTAAAGAGGCTGGCTGAGAAAAAGGCTAAACGAGGGGCTCAGTGATGCCGTGCGTAACATGTGAGCTCCGGAAGGGGCAATCGCGTTTCGAACCGACCTGAGGTCCTAATTTTGCAAATATCTGAGCACCATTGTGATTGAAAAAGAATGTCTGCAGATATTAATGACTGCCATTCAAAAAGGTTAGTTGGAAAAGATCCATGCGCAACCACTCGAGAGTGTCTAGTTGACTGTGGTAGTGTGATGCAATAGTTTAGAATCTCAACCTCTATTGAACTGGGAATTTAAAAAAGTCCGCAAAGAGGAGTTTATTGTTATAGGTTCTCGTCGCTCTCTTGCGTATTAAAAATAATCTGTTTCTTCACAACAAGTTGACTTCCAGTAAAATGAGGATGCTGGCAAATAGGAGATGATGTTATGATCAAAAGTGCACAAAGCTGGCGCACCGAGACCCTCTCACAAGTTGAATTTTCATCGAAAAAGTGCAAAACCTTTGTTGTTTTCATTCGTAAGCTTTTTCTGAAAAATCTATGGTTTTTTCATGGTTGAATTCTAACAAGGTTGCAGGTTTTGGCACTTAAAGTAATTTCCATTCACAATCGGAAAATTCGTTGCTCATTCATTTTCATTTTGTATGGAGAAGCCTTGTACAAGCACAAAAGAAATGACGAAGCCAGATATCGCTAGAAAACATCGACATAGTAGTTTTTTGGCGACATTTTATCCTAAGCAAATAAAATCTGTCAACATATCAGAAATAGGGATCGCATTACATCGAGGCAAGAACTTGATGCGCTCAATTCTGCTTTTCGTCCGATGGAACATCACGGATAGTTACGGCCGTGAATAACATCTGTCGGCTTCTTAACAGTAATTATAAACCTTCACCATTAATTATGCTATTCAAACATCGATATCTCGTTGTAATGATAATTCCAGCGCGATGTCATAACATAAACTCCTATTGTGGATGATGTGTCGGCACCTTCAACTTCCTCAAAGCCGTGGTCACCTGGGTCGACCCTCCACGGCAATTGCTTCTTTTCACGTTTTAGGTTTTCGCAGTCGTCCCGATTAGTCGCATCTAGTAGAGGGGAACACCACTCGAATTAGTTTATCAGAACAACGTGTGTCGGCTGCCGATGCTGTGATAATTTAGGAAACGCCATTAAGTCGAGTATTAAGAAATCACCTAACACTAATTATAAAGTGAGGAACTCAATGGTTGTCTCTGCATAAGTTTTTGGCTTTTGAAGAACACAGAATGTAATAAAAACAGTTCTTCATTTTTACTTACTGAGAAGAGCCGCTTTTAATGCAATTCTTGTTGATGAGTTCTTTTATGTACAGTGATTTAAAAGCCCAATTTTTCGACTAAATGTGGATCATAGTGAGTGAAGCGAAATCTTTTTTTTCTTTAAATTCGACTCATTTCAAAGATGCTGTAGAAAAGTGCAACTTCCAGTGTGTCAGTTACAGTCTTCAAAGTTGTGAAATAGAACCGTGGGAAAACCAAGTTTTCAACTTTTCTTTCTGACATCGTTTTCATCTTAGGAAATATTTTTCTGGTCATACAATCATTTTGCAACAAATATTGTATTTCATTGAAATTTCAAATATCGTATGCCTCTTCGGTGTGTTATAGGCTTATTTATACTTGAAAGGTTGGTCTGAATAACCGAACGACTTGAAGTTTAGGTAGATTTTACCGCTAGGCACACTCTTCAAAGGTATGCTGTTCTTATGACGGCGGTTGTTGGATTTATGGAATGGAGTGAGATTTGCCTTGCTGTACTATGTTGATTTAAGATGGCAGCGAATCCTGGCACGGGTTCTCTCGTTAGTGGGTTGATCGATGGATATAATCTGACTTCTTTCCGCCACCTAATTGGTCGTGCCGTGAAAGATAGCATTACTATGTCACACAAACAGCATCTTGTGAATAAGCAGAGACGGTAAAGCGCTGAGGGTGATAAAGCATGGAAAACTCCAGAGAGTGAAAACATACGCTAGACTATTGTACATTCTTAGCACACTTGTAGTACTATTTGGTAAACATTCTCAAGGTCAAGTTGGCCACTTTGCTGCCGCACTTGTGACATACCAAGCAGGAATGAAAGGGAGAACTTGTCTCAATGCGTCGCTGACTGAAGATTCCCAACGAACCTGTTTCGCTCCTATGTCGAGTTGCTCTGTCAACATCTACAGACTGACAGTAGTCGTATGACAGTAGTCGAAAAAAAGCAGTAACCACGAAGCAGCGTCACCACGAGGAACAAGGTTTTCTATTCTGTTAACTGCAACTCTGACGATACATTGGAGAGCAGGTGCAGACGAGCAGCCGAGCCATTGTTGTAACCTTTGGGATTTCGACTAAAAACATCTGAAAAAATCTTAGAACGTTTAAATGTTGTAACGACAAAAATGCCCTCAAGTATTGCTCTTCTTTATGTCCTTCACTTAATTGCAGAAAAGTCGATTTCAGATATTGGTATCGAAATCCAATACCAGTCCATTTTAGTTGACCCAGGTGTCTCTTACATAAAGACGAAAGAACACAAAACTTTCAAATGTTTAA